ACAACCTTTGTCTTACCAGGGCTAGTTTCTTTTCTTGTTTTCAAAATATAGATATTTTAAGGATAAAGTGATATATTGTTCTGATATTTTAGAATTCACAAGATTAATGTTTACTACAGTTTCTATATTTCTATCCATATATTATATTGTACTTCTTCCTTCGAGTTAAGTATGTTCCTAATACCAACATAGCTCCTTTGTTCTTGTATTGAAATTCAATTCACATTTGTTGTTTGCAGTGTATGCAGATGCTTCGAAAGAGTAAAGGGCAGATTACAGCAGCTTAGGCTGGGCCCATCATGTAAGGAGGGAGGAGGCCTGTGTGGTCATTGTCGTTGTCCTGCGGTGAGGATATATTCCTTGAGATTACTTGAGAGAGATGCTGGCGGGCGACTTGCCATTTCTTTCTAGATGCAAATATCCCTTAGCTTGCCATCTCTTTCAACGGCGGGCTAATTACGATCACACTTGGCTGGAGATGACCACAGTTTTGAAACTGGGATTGTGTTTATTTTTGTTCTTGTTATTATTTTTATTTTATTATTTTTTTGCCATCGGGACTCGGGTCTCGGGGCACCTCTGTCCACGTCCTTCGCCGGTTGCAACACCTTTATTGTTGACAACTTAAGTAAGGCGACACCCCAGGTAGGAACTGGTTCGAGCCCTCCGTTTCTTGCACATTTGCCAAGACTTGTGCGGTTGCATAAATATGCACAGGCAGTTCACTGAGAGAAAAAAGGATATTATCAAAAATTTAGAGATATAGTTGATGCAATACATAAAATATATAATTAACAATATATTCATAATAATGTATAAAGTAAAGTATTAGTTGCTAAACAAGAGCCTGAGGTAGCTTATATATAAACTTTTATTCTAAAAACCTTTCGTTATATAAAGACCCCTATTTTTTCACAGTGTTCTGAAAGTGTTGACCAAAAATAAACACTTAAAATATGCTTTCTGCACTGATACAATCGATCTTCTTCTGTTGCCAGTTGTTGTTTTTTCTTTGATTGATTGTCTCCGCGAAGTGGAAAGCACTCACCGGGGGATTTTGGGTACTGAGATTTTGACTCGTGTCTCTACAAACAATCTCCTTCCCTTCCTTAACAGCTGGCCAAGGAATACTAATCGGGATTAGGGTAAAGAGAGAAAGGTGCAAATGACACAGGAATTCAAAACACACCCCAAGTACTGGGTACTTGCGGTTTCGAAGTACTCCCCCTGGGGATTTTTGGAATCCTCCTGGCCTACCTTTCCTTTTCTCCTCGATGGTCTTAAAAACAAATCAATTTTGTTTCTTTCCTGATTAGCACACGTTTTCCTTTTTCTTGTGGGAAATAAGTTGCCGAAAGTCAAGAAGGACAACAAGGATAAGGGACTTAATGGGGGTTAGAAACTGGAACATTATCTTAATTGATCAGCTGCCACAAATAGTTGGGATATATTATCAGGATCTTGTCTTTGGTTTATTTAATCTAAGAGGATTGTGTTATCCGATTTTGAGTCATGAATAAATACCTCATTTTATAGAAAGTTTTATTAGTTTTGCGGGTACCAGATAATCTTAGGAACTCCTGGAATAAGCTCTTTATAAAGTTAGAAAGTTGTATATTATATCTAAATTTGGTCGCTTTTTTTTATTTTTATTTTTTATTTACCAAAACCTAAAAACTTCCTAAATACATTTGCATTTTCTAAGGATATTTAATAGATACACCTAATAGAACCACTTTTGTTTTGCAATCAACATTTTTAAATCATGTTTTTGAACAATCAAAACTAAAAATGTCATTAAACTAATTTCTTAGTCTTAATGAAGATATTTCTACAACTACTATTCCGAAAGGGAAATATTCCCCAATCAGGTGCCTGGTATTGCGTGTAAAATTCACATTTCCAACATAATGCTGAATTTATTGGTCAACTTTTTGGGGGCAATCGTACTCCATAAAAGTTGATTATGATTGAGGGGGAGAGGAGGAGGAGGTGTATATGTGTGTGCTGGCCCCTTTGATGTTAAGGGTTAAGTGCGCGGCCTGATGAGGGTTAACTAGTAGCCATCTGGAGCTGGACAGTGGACAGGACACACGCACGATATATCGCATCATCCAATTTCACCATCATAATTTGGGTGCACGAAACGATTCAACGATCCAACGATGCAACGATCCGACATCCAATAAACATCAATTGGTGGTCAAGGAGGGGTCCATGATTAGCGGCTGGGGGAAAGGATGTGTCTCCTGTCCAGAGGGAAACTTGTTTCTTGCCGGCGACAGATGTTGTTGTTGCCGATACATTGGTAATTGCCCAGTGTGTGTGTGTGTGTGTGTGCCAGGTCATACTGTACTTAATTTTTGCAAAAATAATAATAATAAAACATAACATGAAAGACAAACTTACTTTGGGCAGCCTAAGTTTATAAATTCTTGCAGTTTGCAATTTAATTAGATAATCTAATTGAAAAACTAACTAATAACTAAGCTTAAAATATTCGAAATCTTTAAATCAATATTTATTGATATATTTAAATAACAAATCAATTCTTAAATATGTCATAACTAAGCCAAAAGTGCGTTAATTTTAATTCGGAAAGCTGTCCCATGTTAGTTTTTGTTAGGTAAATAAATCTGCATACTCAATTTAACAACTTAAATTTTTGCCAATTTTTTTAAATTTTAACCCCTTTTGCAAATTTTCAAAAAATGGGAAATTTCTGAAAAAATTATTTTTCGGCCGCATATAGCTGGAAAGATTCGCCCATTGATGCTGATCTAGAATAAATATGATTTATAGGATCGGAAATGACTCCTTCACTTTCTTTTAATCGATATTAACTATATTTTTACATAATATTTTTTCAATATTTTTCAAGGCTTAAAAATGTTACCAATTTGATAAACAAAAGCTTATGATATTTTCGATACAATAATAAACACGAAATTTGTATAAATATATTAAATCAGACTTTCGCTTTTCATAAACTTCCCCCAATGCGAACTAACTTGCACTTCCTTAATGTTCCTATGATATAATATTGTTTTCAAGGGTGAATAAACTATAGGAATATCCTTAAATAATAATTACTGATCCTGGTGGTACTTTTGCGAACACAGATGTTTCTTAACCCAGACTGTCTGGCTTTTGTTTTGTTTTTTTTTTTTGTCCAAGAACAGGATTCGCCACGAAAGGATTCGGGATTCCTGGACTCGTCGTTCAAATTCGGGTTTTCCACTCTCAAAGTTCGCACATTGTGTGTTTTCGCTTTTGTTTTGATTCTTGTTTCTACACTTCGGCCACGCCCCCTTTGGGCGGCACACACACTGACTCATCGCAACGCGTCTGCGCGCCGGTTACTGCCGCAAGTCTCAACTGTACTTGGCCGCGCGACGCCATAAATTAAAATTATGTTGTAAGCACACATACACAGGGGCGTCGCACATGCGCACACGCACCGCAAAAAAAAAACGCAAAAGAAAACACACACACTCTTAAGAAGACAAGAGACGCGACTTTGAATGCGAGTCCGGTTCGTTGGCAAAAAAATCAAAAAAATAAAGGGAAAGAGAAGGAAAAAGAATAATAAAGAAAAGAAATGCAAACACAACAGAAAGCAAAACCAAAACAAGCTGCAAAAACAACGAATTAAATAAACGAAAGCTCAGATACCCTAAAAATTTATTTAAAAATAAATACAAAGAATATATATTACAAAATATATAAATAGAACAATATATAGAACAATAATCCGTTAAAAAAAATCTATTTAAAACTGCATACTAAAGTTTGTATTCTCTGCACTTTGCACAATTGGATCATTCAAAATCGAAGCATTTTAGTAAAAACGAAATAGATAACATACAGGAGATATATTATAAAACATTTATACATATCATATAATAATTCGATTAAAGTTCAATAACATTATTTTAAAATGTTCTTGAATTACTATCTCAATGGTTTATTTATCTAATATAATAAAAATTATAAATCTATATGGGGAATAACAACGAAATAAAAAACATAAACAATAGAACATTGAAGCATAATATTGTTTAGATCTGAACAAGTATTAATTTATTATATAATACTAATTATATTTTATTTATATTCAGACAAGATTTATATAAATCAGCATCCATATTATTTCATTTCTAATAATAAAGCTTGTGCAAAGGTCTTTCTTAAGCTCTGAATTAAATGATTTTTGAAGTTCAGATAGGATAATGCAAGGACCTTTGATAGGAAAGAGTGCAAAACAAGCAAAAGCAGATCAAAAGAAAGAAGATGGACAACAGAAACAAGAAGAGCAACAAGAACAACATCGACAGCAACGTCGCGTCGTTGAAAATTGCAGCTTGCAACATTAACATGTTTTATGTGCCACAGATCCGATCCGATCTGATCTGGACCAAAGTTGAGGTTTATGTGGCACCGCAAAAATGATTAGATTAGTGATTCAACAGAGGAGATATAGTAAAGTGTTTATGGCTTAAAATATTATTATAAAATATTATAAATATATATTTATTAATCAAGCTAAAAAGAATAATTCTGAGACTGTAAATACATGATTTTGAAAACAAAAAAATTAATTAAAAATTTATTATATATAAATATATACATATAAATTATAATAAGCGAACTTTTCTTTTATTACACATTGATTTTTGAATATTATAAATATTAAATATATATATTATAAATTATTAGGAAGTTATTTACTTATATAATGCTAGCCTCTACGTAGTCAAAACTAAGTGCTGAAATAGATAAAGATGTACAGGTATATCTATTATTTTTTGTAAATAATTAATAAGCTTTTCAATATACCAATTATTTAAACCATTTTTAAACTTATTTGAAGGCTGTATTTAATATAAAAGATAATGAAGGCCAAAACTAACACATTTTAAGCTGTAAATGTTTTTATATATAACTAAATTATAAAATTATATTTAAAATATTATTATTATTTTCTTATTTTTCCCCAGTGTCTTGGACTGATAAAGCCGCGGACTCAATCCACAGCAATCTGAGGCAAAAAACCAGAGCACTTCGGCTGCCCCTGATCTGCGTACGAAAGCTATTTAGTAGCCCCGATGGTGGCGCAGGGGTTAAGGGACTGCCCCGGGTTTTCCCTTTTCATAAAGAGGAAGTCGTCTGCTGGACTGGTCTCTCACTCTCCTGCGGAAGGAAGTCGCGCCTGTTCCGCCAGTATATAATAAAGATTTCGCATGGCATGAATGCAAATTACTGCAGAAATGTTATTGAACTTTGGCACAGGCAGAGAGGCATCGGGGTTATTCTCCTCCCTGCGCGATGGTGGAATTTCGGAGGACATATGCATTGGAATCTCTTCCATATGTTGGCAATAACTGGGCTTCCTTTTGCTTCTGCTCTGACACGCCTACAAGTGTCTGCCTGTGGTGAGTACAGTGAAGAAAAAATCGATTATTAATTAAATCACTTTGATAATGATTAACCATTACGAAATTTATGCTTTTAAAAATTAACTAAAGGGTTGGTGATGGTTTAATAGGTTTCACATTTTTTTCTTGTTTAAAAAATCTTTTGCATAATTTTGGTACAATTTGTCCTTCAATTAATTGCCTAAAGAAGTTGAATATATATTCAGAAGCAAGTTCAGTTTTCAGTAATATTTATTAGAGTAATTTATGACAGATAATTTCTATATATAGTATATATTTTTCTCTCAGTGAAAAACACTTTTTTTAATTGCTTCATATTCAAAGTCTGGGAAATTGGAGTGAGAACGGATCCTTTTTCCCTGGGCCAGCCTTATTTATTGCAAACAAATGACATCTTCGAGTGGCGCGGCAAGTATCCACTTACAGGGCATCCAATTGCCGTTGCAATTGTTTATGCCTTCGACAATATGGCCCGAAAGTCATTGAGAAGTCACAGGCGATTTGATCTTTACGATCGCTCTGTACTTATATAGTACTATATAGGCATTTATTTATGGTATATAGTTTTGTGCGGGCTGTGATCTTGGGTTTACGTGTGCTGGTGGTATGTAGTAGGTAAGAATTTTACGACGGGGGAAAAATGGGAATTTTCGTGTTAAGATCCCGGGAAAAATTCTAACAAAATCAGCAAAAACAAAACGATTTTATGGGATTTGCGGATAGGAGTTTTCTTTTACAATTTATTTAATATATTAGCTTGGAGAGATTTATCTCGGCTTTATATGATGGATTACAATGCGGGAGGGATGTTTAGAGATCTTAACTAGAATCTTTTTGATTAAATCTTTTTGATATTATATATTTAATATATAGGTACTAATACCTTTGATGTAGATTTTATTAAAAATCATTTTACTGGCTTAGAAAGATTTGTGTTAAATCATATGGATGGTATTTCCTATGCCGAATCAATGTATAACGATCATATTTAAAATCAATTCGATTTTATACAATTTACTAATATGTTTCTTTACTATAATATACCATTTATTATAGAACTTTCATTTAGAACCTATAAACAAATCTTTAAGCCTTTTTAGAGAGATCTAAGTTATCTTTATAGAAATATAAACTATAGAAAAATCTAGAAAAATCAGGAAAAATAAAGTAATCCCTGCGAACTCATTGAAACTCATTACACTCGCCCTCAATAGCGTTCAAATTAAAATGTCGCAACCGTAAAGGGGCCCCCCCACAACGACCCTATGACATACAGGTCTTACTATTGCCATAAGGACGAACGTGAAAATGAGACGATGGAAAATGAAAATGAAAATGAAATGAAAACGATGTGTGTACGTTGTGGCATAGCCACTACACATGTAAATCGGGGCTATTTGGACCCCGCGTAACCCTATGTATGTATAACCGAGACCCAAGACCGGGAAATCCACAAATTTATATGTAAACGATGGTGGAATGGGGCTGGAAAAACTGATCAACATGCATAATTACCGAGTGCAGCACCGAAATTTTCCATGGGTAACGTGTGAACCGAGAACTGGATCTTCTGGGGAGTGTGTGTGTGTGTTTGGGGCGGGGGAATGGGACAACACTCCAGAGATAATGTCGAGTAGGGAGAACCGTTGACAACCGCTCGGAGATTATGAAAATCTTTGGTCATTGGGTTACGGTAACGGACACAGGGAGAACACAACTAAGACAACGACCGAGATCGGGGGTTAGTTTTTGTATTAACATAATCGATGGGGTACAGTGGACAACCGTAAGAGTGAACGTCTTAGGAAATATTAAATAGATTCCTTTTTATTTTTGGTCTGGAAATTTTTCAATTTAAATGTGAGTAGTTTTTATGATTCAAAAAAGAGAATTTAGGAAATAACTGACTGAATACCTGAGTGAATAATTAAGTAACCTACCCACGTAAACAACTGATAGGCAAATGACTTAAAATATATATTCACCTTTCCTTATTTATATTTGTAATTAACATTTGATTAAGTAACTATTTTATTACCTCAACAATTTCTTTGATACTCTCTATTTCTTGTCGCAAAATAAATTTCCAGCACACTACTTTATGTTAGCGATAATCCACTGTATTTCCTAGGGGGTTCAACTTAGTATCTAAGCCAGGGAACGGACACACAGTCAATTACTTAGTTGTGATACTTGAATGCACTTACGGAAAGGAAAATCTCCAATCAGCAGCCACGACCCCCTACTGATGAGAGCGTTGTCTCTTCGATTTTTTGCCTTTTTTTTATTTTTTTTACGGCCCCGAAAAAAGAGTAGGAGAAGGAGAAGGAGATACTTCGACCGAGACCGATTCAGATACTGCCAAGAGACCTGATATTCGAGTCGGGATCGGGATTGGGATTGGGGTGAGGGTCGGGGTCAGCCTGCTCCGTTCTTCCGTCGTTCGGTGAAGTGGCAAAAGCGACGTGAAACGTTTTCCAAAAAGGATAATAACACCAAAACCCGGCGAGCACTAGCGCATATCAATGGAAGGAAGCGTTTAACGCTAAACACTTGAAATGCCAGCCCAAAAAAAGAAAGAGAAAAGAGAAATAATACTACAAACCGAAACAAAAAATACAGTAAATAAAGGCATGTCTTATCTGCTGGGACATAAAGTGCCAAAAATTATGGCAAAAGGAAATCGGACGTATTGCCTGTCAGAGTCAAGAGGCGACGTGAGATTTTTGGAATTTTGGAAATGTTTTGGGTTTGACTTTGGTTCCGGATTGGCACTATAATGCCCTATAGTTTGGCAATCATAATTTACAGGTAGAGTGGGGGTAATAGTATCAGGATAATGTATAAATCTGGGCAGTGAAAGGTGATTTTTAATCAGCTAAAATCAAGTTGAAAATTCTGTTAGATAAAATATTTATATTTATAAATATAAAACATATATTTCTCTGATTTAATTTAGTATAATTAATGAAAATCATTTTGTAAATGAAATCCTTTGAAATTGCAGATGTTAACCAGGATTTTATTTAAAATATAAAAGCTCATCTAATTTGTGGTAAAAGATATATAAAAGTGTCCAACATAATTATAAAAGTATAAAATAAAATGTAAACCATGATTATTGTTGCCTAAAAAGTGGTAATAACTTAAAAAATGTATCTATCTGTACACCCTTCCAAGGTTTTTATAATTGTAGTCAGAAGCTTAAAACACTGTGAGGGAGTAATTTCCGACCCTAAATCTTGCTATTCTTGATTAACGTCAACTGGGGAATTTTTCTAGCTATCTCCGGCAGGAAAAAAACATTTTCAAAAATTGTAGATTTTTTTCAAAATAAAAAAATTTTAAAAATTAAAATTTCCAAAAATTGACAAATTTTTAACATTTTAAAATTTTAAATTGAGTAAGCAGATTTAAAAATCTCTTTAAAACCAACTTCGGACAGCTTTCCGAATTCAAATTAATGCATTTTTGGCTTAGTTATGAGCTCTTTAAACTTTAATTGTCATATAAAAATATCAATAAATATTGATTAAAAAAAGGTCAGCTCAGTTAAGATAAATTTTCTATTTTGCTATATATTTTTTACATGAAGATGGCGCCATCTACACGAAAATGTTCTAAGTTGCGATCTTGTAAGGAGCACTGGCGCATACAGCTTTCAGTTTCTATTTTACATAACCAGGTGTCGTTACTGCAGCCATTGAATGTACAAAATTAAAGGCAATGTAAAATTGGGAGAATCTGCCAAAATATATATAGTTTTAATTTTATATGACATGAAACAAAAATATAAAAATTTAATAAATAAATAATTTAATTTTAATTTTTCTGTCAAGAAAAGTAAGTATATAAATATTTATTTAAGATTAAGTAAAATGTGTGTAAATAAAAATAAAATTAATAAAAAGAAACGAAGATAGTTGTATTATGGAATTTATTGTCTATTGACTACCCTGGCAGTGCAGTATATATAAGTAGATTGGCATCTCTAATACTAGAGCGATGCCTATTTCTCCCAATAGTGCAAAATATCTAGATTGGCCGCTTAAATCCAATGGCGATGCCTTATTCTCTCAGTAGTGCAATTTAGCTTAACCGCCAAATTTGAATTTAAATTGACCGCCAACGATAAATTAATCGATAAGTCCCGCACAGAAAGTTCACAATATGGTCAGACTGGCGAAAAGTGCAAAATTCAAATTTGAATTTAAATTAACCGCCACCGTTAAATTAATCGATAAATCAGACAACCGAAAGTTCACAATATGGTCACACTGGCCAAAAGTTACAATATGGTCACACTGGCAACAGTGTGCAAATTCAAATTTGAATTTAAATTAACCGCCACCGATAAATTAATCGATAAACCGCGCAGTCCAAAAATTTCAATATGGACACACTGGCCAACAATTCTAGGGTGTGGTGACACTGGCAAGTAGTTCATATTTTTGTAATTGCATACTTTTGGGGGTGGTGTAGCATACTTTTGGGGCGTAAAATGAATTTGCAAAAAATTAAATTTGCTTGCTGCTGATTTCTGTTCGCCTGGTATTTCAGGTCGAATTTTAAGTGACGCCGAGCACATCGAAGGCTTGGCTTGGCAACACACAACCGCACGATTTCACAGTATGTACAACACACAACCGCACGATTTGCACAGTATGTACAACAACAACAACATGAACAACAACAACAACAACAACAACAACAACAACAACAACAACAACAACAACAACAACAACAACAACAACAACAACAACAACAACAACAACAACAACAACAACAACAACAACAACAACAACAACAACAACAACAAAACAACAACAACAACAACAAAAACAACAAAAACAACAAAAACAAAAACAACAACAACAACAACAAAAACAACAAAAACAACAACAACAACAAAAACAAAAACAACAAAAACGACAATTGAAAGCGTTCTTGCCGACAACAAAAACAACAATTTCCGGCATTTTTGCCGGCAACAACAACCACAATAAGCAACTTCTTCACAAAAACAATAATTTTGAATTTACAGCAAGCAATTTCTTGTAATTTAATGGCCAAATTGGAATTTGAACTTTAAAAGTAGTTAAAACTATGCTGACAGAGATGCTTATTTGTCGGCGGCAATATTGCATCTTACTTACCATCATTGATGATTATATACCTGCATTGCTGAAATACTCCATGCTGCAAAGTAAACCCAATAAATACAATAAAAGACGAATACAGTTATTTTTTAATATTATCTTCTCGTTTATTTAGATTCATTAGGTTTCATTTTCATTTATCATTTCTCGTTTCTCATTTCTTATTTCTCATTCTCAAATCGGTGTTCTTCATGCCAATGCTCTTGATCTGCTTTGTTTTAACATCATTTTGCCATGAGGTCTTGTTTAATGCCAAACTGAGTGACTTTTGTTCTTAGATTTCATAAATATTACTTACTCTTTTTTGCATGCTATTATGTATTTGACTTGTTTTTCAGGGGTAGACTTCTGTTTTCTTTTTTTGTTTTTTATTAATTTCATAAATGATTACGCTTTTCACATACAATAACTACATATATATACATAGAATATACATATATATGTATACGGTATTCTGAGAGAGGCAAAAACGAAACAAAATCTGAAGGAAAAATAAATCAAAAACAACAAAAGCCAGCTCTATATTATATATGTATATATACTATATAGTATAGGTCGCCCGATCGGATCGAGAGTGCGCTGTGGTAAGTAATTCTCGTTCTCGTTTTCATTTCTCATATCTCTGGGCCTGAGGCGTTTGTATATTCGAAATATTTGCAATATTTTCGTTATATATTGAAAACCCCCTAAGCCCGACCTCTTCGGTACCTGTGTGTGTCTGTGTGTGACTTCTGTGGCGATTCTTTTTTGTAAATTTTCTAAATTTCCCAAATAAAAAGCGAAACGAAGGAAATGCCTAACTGTTTGCCCAGTAACGCCAGCGTTACGTGATTTATATGTATATATATAATATCTCCCGATACTCCATCGCCGCTCTTGATTGAAGTGCCGGATCCACCGGATGTGACGTCACTTCCTCTGCGGCACCTCAAGCGGTATTTCCATCTAACAACCGTCGCCAGCGCTCATTGTATGGTATCTTTAGGTATATTTTTGGTTTTTAGTTTTGTCTTGTGTTTCATTTTGCCTCATTCATCTTCATCTTCGTCTTTGGTGTTTTATTTTACTTTCTTTCTTCATTCTCATTATAGTACAAAACTTGCCAGTTCAAAGGTTTGTGTTATTTTCTCTCTTCATTAACCTTTTCATGCTTCTTTTTTTTGGTTTTTCTGTATATTTTTTTTAAGGGGTTCTGGTATCTGAATCTGTTGCCTGCCTTTTCATATAGTTATAGATACACATATTTAATATATAATATATATCTGTATGTATATTATTAAGTTATCTCAAAAAAAGTTCTCATTTACGGCTAAACAGCACAACAAACAGTTATCATTTCTTTCCTATTTTTTTTTTTTGTTTTGGTTACACACTTTCTTTCATTTTTACTTTAATTCTTTTTAACTCCCCCCAAAAAATTTGGCCAACCTGTGTGTGTGTGTGCTACAAATGCTGATCTCTCGCCTGCCTTTCCCTATATATATAAATATTTATATATGTATATATATCTCTATATAAGTGGGTATCCTTGCACGACCGGAGCTACATAACCGCGTATGCGCTAAATAGTAAGTATATTCTCTAAATATAGTTATATACACTGATATAAGTTGGCGGCACATCAATGGGGGGATGGAGGAAAAAATTAGAAAAATAATTAGGAAAAATATCAAGTGTGTTTAAATTCAGTCAAAGCTGGCTTTGGGACAAGGATTAGTCGATTTTGTATCTAACAGATAATAAGATAGACAGACTGAGAGAGAGAGAGATGCCTATAATTTGGGTTGTATCTTTCGGTTTGCTGCTAACAATTACATTTAGATACTTTTCGATTTAACTATATAAATTGCTTGTGTGTGTGTGTGATGTAAGATACTGTGTGTGATGGATGCTTCTACTTTTAGTTTCAGTTTCAGTTTCGGTTTCAGTTTTTTTTGTTTGGACTTTAAATTCATCGAATTACACACGCACAGAGAATACACGTACATACAACATCTGGTTAGGCTTAAGTATCATCGTTTCATCAACGCGAGTATACATCAAATGTATGTAATGTGGCTGCACCGTGTGCATATATGTATGTATGTATGCCTAGGATATATATTATATATATATATGTATATATAAATGTAAATGTTCGGTTAATACTCTGGTAAGTTACATAATCGTATAGCTACACACACATGTACCAGTATCTGTAATCGTTATCGTTATCATTATCGGAATCTCTCTATATGTTTATCTTTCTCATTTTCATTTCCATATTTCTCTTCTTCATCGGTGTGTTTCCGGTTCTATGGTTCTACAAAAAACACATCACTCACAGGGAAATTCGTGTTACAAATACAATAATAGTTAATTTTCTTAGTTTTCTTAATTTTCATTTAGTTTTTAGTTTTCTTTTTTTGTGAGAGGAGAAAAAAGTCATTTGGTTTGTTTTGTTTTTTGCTTTTTTTGTTCTTTTTCTTTTATTTATTTCACTCAATTTGTTGTTAAAGTAGCTTGGTTTCCTTTTTGTTTTATGTTTGTTTTAAGTTCGCCATGGACTTGCCGTTGGTTGGTTGGTATAATTAATTAATATATGTATGCATCATGTAAGGTAGATATATATATATACATATATCTTTTGCTGTATCTTTGCCGAAGGTTGATTAAGTTTCGAAAAAAAAATAATATAATGTTTGTATGTAAATCTGAGAAGCGCACATTTACAATGCTGCTTAAATTGCTATAAAGTATTATCTTCAACTTTTTTGCCTTCAACAATATACATATATAACTCTGCTTTTGCAAATAGTTTTTAGTTTTAGTTTTAATGATATTTTTAGACCATCAAGGTTCCGTTTTTCATTTCTGAATTGTTTTTGTTTCATTACATTTCACATCGTATCATATATCAATCTATTTGATATATGATATATATATATATATTCATGTATATATATTAAAAAAAAAAAAATAATTGAACTATTTTATGCGCGGATCCTGCCCGCTTAAACACAAAAAATAAATCGTATATATATATAGCACTAGCTCTGAAACAAAATAATAATGTTTTTGGGTAATAAATTAATAACAATAAAACATAATAATATTAAACAATAGATATATATGTATGTTTGTATGTATGTATGTATATAAATTATGCGCGTTTGAATTTGGCCTGCCACATCGATCGATCCACGGCACCAGCGCTGTGGGATCGTGACTTTACATTTGCATATATATATATATCTTCCTATGGGGTATATATGTATCTCTCTATATAGACTGTTGTATATAGGTTAAGTGTTATAAATTATATCGCATTATTATAGCCAATGACTTTCTTCGTTTTGTTGTTTGTTTTGCTTTTTGTGTGTGTGTGTTTTTTGTGTTGCATTCTAGCTTTGGTTTTGGTTACGCATTTCGCATTTCATTGGAAAAACTAAAAAATTGTGCTTGCTTTTCTTGATTTCTTCTCAATTATTATCATTACTATTATTATTATTATAAATTTAAATATTAATTTACCTTTTTGTCGAAGAGTCTTTTTCTGGTTGTTTGTGTGCTTTTCCTTTAGTAAATTCATATTTCCTCCTCTCTTCTCTTTCGTGTCTCTGTGTTTGTGTTTGCTTTGCTTTGCATTTGTTGCTTAAATTGTGTTTTTGTCAGCTTAGTTAACTAGGTAAATAATAATAATAATATATATATATATAGTAGTTTTATATATAGCGAAAAATATTTGCGAAGACAGCGTTTGACATTATTTTCTCTTGGTTTCTCTCTATTTCTCCTATTTTTTCCTTCTCTTCTGGAAGCAAATGAAATCGCAATTCAAATCGAAATGGAAATTCTTTAGCTAATTGTACAATAGTTATTAATCTTTCCTTTTTTGATAACTCCTTCCTCTTCTATTCTCCTCTCAGTTTTTTTAATTTAATTTAAGTTAATGTGTTGTTTTGTGTGTGGTTTTTTGGCTTTGTTTTCTTTCATTTAGTTTAGCTGCAAAAACATTTGCTAGCTGCTTTGTTTTTTTAAATTCGAGTCCAACATTTAAATTATTTACAAATAATATATATATATAAAAAAAAACGTATTTATATTATATTTATATATTATATTACTATACAAAACTACAGTCGGGCTGTAATCTTAATCGTTTTGTGGGAAGGGATTTTTAAGAATTTTAATTGAATTTAAGTGTGTGTTGTTTGCTTTCAATTCTTAATTGTTTTTTTTGGGTTTAATTCACTGGTTTCTTACACTTTACATAGGTTTTGTTTGTGTGTGTTTTTCGCTTCTCTGCTTTGTCTAAATCATAAAAAATTCAATACCGCCTGCTATCGATTTCTATCGACTTGGCTATCGTTTATCAAAATCAAAATTAATCATCGAGTAAAATGTATCTGTTCGTGCATGCAATAAACATTTAAAAACTTAAAAAAAAGAAAGGAGGCTTTCTCTTAAACTAATCGTATTTAATTGTAATCCCCCCGTCCATTCTGGTTTTAGTCAAGGTTTTAAAAGGTCCTGGGAGGGCGGCTTCAACAGAAATCTCATTTACAACAAAAATCGTCTATATAGATATAGTTATGCTTGTTTTCTTACAGGGGAAGGGGGGTGTTTTTGGGCGGGACTTTTGGTATATATTCTTAACTATCAATGGGGTTTTCTTACTCCCTTTGCTTTGTCTTGGATTTTCCTTTTTTGCTTTGCTTTTAAGAATATTTACGATTTGTGTTCTGTTCCATGCTCTCTGCCTCCTTATTTTTTGTTTTGTTTTTTCTCCAAGTGTATTCATCATCAATCTCATTTTTCCATTAAGTAAATTTCTAACTTTCTTTTTTTTGTCGTTTTTTTTCTTGTTTTTCTCTGCTTTTCTTTTGTTTTTCTCTAGGCTTTATAAGTTAAACGGTACTTTTGCTATTGCTGTTTGGTTTTTTGTTTTTTTTTAAACAATTGTTTAATATTTCCTTATGTTTCTTTGTTTTGTTTTTTTTTGTGTTTTTTCCAAGAGTTTTTCTTTGTTTTTTTTTTAGTTTTTCCTTTTTGGCTTTGTTTTGTTGTGTCTCTGTATGTGTGAGTGTCTGTTAAATAGTAGTCACTAACGTAGTAGGAAAAAGTTATGAGCCTTTTCCTGTAATTTGCGATAGAATCCCACGACTCTCCGTCACATTCCACCGTGATGCTGCTGGTTTTGGCTGCCACCCGTTCTGGGGGCCATGCCACCACCACCACCTCCACCACCACCTCCACCCCCACCACCGCCACCTCCACCACTGGCACCGCCCAGGGCCGAGGTGGCCGTGGTGCCTGTTGTGGTGCTAGAAGCGGCATCCACATCCTCATCGCCCTCCTCTAGCTCGGCGAGGTTCTCCTGATCGGACTCCTCAAGGGTTACCTTTTGTGGGGTTTGTATTTCATGAAATAAGTAATTTATTCAATTATTTACCTTGCAAGGACTCACTTGAAATCGTATCCTGTCCTCCTGCGGATTCTCATCGACCCCCGATGGCGGCGGCGACGGCGGTATCATGCTCTGGTAGTAGTCTCTGTTCTCTTCAAGCGTGTCGAGTATATCCTGGGCATCCGGATGGACCAGATCGGCCCAGGTCTCCCACAGCGGATGGACAATGTAGTCGATGAAGCCCACCTGTGACTTCTCAATGGTGGCATTATGGCGATCGCACATGGGACTGATATCCATGCCCGATTCGCGCTCCTTGTCGCCCTGCAGGAAGAACTCCTCCATGAGCAGCGCCACCCAGCGCTTATATAGCGGCAGCGGTTTGGTGGGATTACTCAAATCGGCGCAATGCACCAGATTCTCAAGCACCTGTGAGATATAGTATATAGTTTGTTATTATATTAATTTAAATGGGACAGGGATTCCCTCACCTGTATGCGATCGGTGTAGTTGTCCAGCAGCAGGACTCCCGAGCCGGCCACCTTTTTGGTTTCCACCATTGTCTTCAGGTCGGCCAGCAGACTCATGTGCTTGGACATGTCCGTGGACAGCACAATATCAATAACCATTTTCCTCAATGTTTGGCGTTGTTTCCTTTAGGAAATAGAAATATTTTTATAGTAAGAAAGTATATAAATAAATAGTTGAAGAGATTGTTTTATTTTAAGACATAAAAGTTCATTATGAAACTATGCTTATAAAACATTGAAAACTTCATTTTGAAACTATACCTTTCTTAAACAGCATTAACAACTTAATTTTACAGGTATAATACGGCATAAAAAAGTCATTAAAAATTTTAATTAAAAAGTTACTAAATTCAAAGTTTAAATTATCATAGCTAAGCCAAAAAATCTTTAATTTCAAATCAGAAAGCTGTTCTATGCTAGTTCTTGTTGGATTAATAAATCTGCTTACTCAGTTTACAAATGTAGGTTTTGTCAATTATTGGAAATTTTAACGATGTAACCCCTTATAAAATGTTGAAAAAATTGGTAAAAACTTATTTTTCTGTCGGAGATGGTTAGATCGACTCGGATGTTGATGCTGATTAAGAATACATATTATTTATAGGGTCGGAAATTATTCCTTCACTTTCTTTTAAGCATCTGACTGAAGGTCCATTACCATTTTTTAACCGAAATTAACAATATTTTTATATGAAATTTTTCGACAAATCAAAATTTAGAAATTTCATAACTAAGCTAAAAACGCATTAATTTCAATTCGGAAAGCGGCAATATGTTAATTTTTAGCAGGTTAACAAAACTGCATACTCCATTTAAAATGTGAATTTTTGGCCGATTTTTGCTAATTTTCATGATGTAACCCCTTTCATTTTTTACAAAAATGGGAAATTTCTGAAAAAAAATTTTTTCGGCCGGAGACGGCTTAAAAGATTTGCCTGTTGATGCTGATCAAGAATATATATGATTTATAGGGTCGGAAATGATTCCTTCACTTACTTTTAGGCTTCTGACTGAAGGTCCATTACCATTTTTTAACCGAAATTAACAATATTTTATATGAAATTTTTCGACAAATCAAAATTTAAAAATTTCATAACTAAGCCAAAAACGCATTAATTTCAATTCGGGAAGCGTTCCTATGTTAGTTTTTAGCAGGTTATTAAAACTGCATACTCCATTTAAAATGTGAATTTTTGGCCGATTTTTGAAAATTTTAACGATGTAACCCCTTATAAAATTGTCAAAAAATTAACTAAATTTTTTTTCTGCCATATATTGGCTAGAACGATTCGACTGTTGATGCTGATAAAGAATATATATAATTTATAAGGTCGGAAATGAGTTCTTCAATGTGTTTTAGGCTTTTGACTGAAATTATAATACCAAGCAAAGGTATAAAAATCTATTAAATATCTTTCGTAATTATTACTACAGAAATAATTATGTATTGCGAATTTTGACTATTGTTGTTCTTTACCTATATAATTGGTGTGACTGTAGTTAATAAGAAATGATAAATATAAATAAAACAAGCTATATAGTTGTCTCTTTTAAGGTTCTAATGGAAACTTAAATGAATAAAAAAAAGAAAATTAATGAAAATACAATAACGTAGTATATCCCCATAAATACAATTTCAAAACTATGTCATACTCAAATAGGAGATTATTTTAAAGTTTTGAAGAGGCCTATATAATATCATAATTTCATATAATATATATTATTATAATATAGAATAATATATCTCTCATAGAGCTCAAATAATAACTTTAAATATCTCAAAATTTAATTTTAGGTCAAAGCCACATTAATGAAAAATGACTTAACCGCATTAATGTCTTTTATGATATGATATTTTTTTAAGCACTGTATCTTTAAAATGTACTCACTTTTGCATATTACAGAATATATCACATCCTTGATTTTGCAATAATTTAAAGGCAACAGCTAAATGATGATTTTCCAAAACAGATTCGTCATTGTACATTAATGCTAGTTCGGAACCTACAAGAAGAGCAAATCATTCAACATTATTATCAATTATCTCGAAGGATCAATGGGATAGATACTCACTTGAGTTAACCAAAAATTGATTGGTTAAACCGGGATGATCCACATCGTGTATACAAGCGGCAAACAGGGCACCGCCCACCTCAAGCGGTGTGAACACGCCCTCCAGCGCTGGAGTATTGAGTAGCACATTTGTGCTCTGGGTCACATCGGCGGCATGGAGCGAGTTGTGAAACGGATTGTCTTTGACGTAGTGGTCCTCCAGAGTAGTCATAAAGTTAAGAAAAGTTTTCGGTGGTATCATAAGACTGGTCAGTAATTCCCTACTCTGTGTTCGGAGCAAACAAAATGCATTAATTAGTGAATACAAATTTGAATTATGCACAAAAGCTCACCTGAAATATGGTGTATGCCACACAGGTAAGCGGCCGGTTGACGCTAAACTCGCCGATGCTGAATATCTGTATGCCCCAGGTGTCGAGCTCCCCGAGCAGTGTGCCCAGCTCGTTCTCCTTGGGCGTCTCCACACCAAATGTGGGCAATCGCTCGCCGGTGAAGCTATTGGTGTGCGATAGCGGTCGCTTTACGCCGCTGATCTGCGACATGGGCGGACCACGTGGTGACCGGCTACGGTTGCCATATTGCTGTCCGGTGGTTTGTCCGCCGGCACCAACCGCACCGCCGCCACTGCCACCGCCGGCAGCTGTGGCAGCCGCATGCTCCGGATTCTCGTCCACGCGCAGCGACGGCAGGTCGAACTCCTGCTGCTTGTCTGTGGTTCACAAAAACAAAGGGGTAAAAGATATTTAGTTAATGTTAATACAATATATAATACTTATTTATTTTAAATTTATCTAGTTTAATCCAAATACTAAACTTAATACATATCACAAGAAGCAGTAGGTGCTAGGAAAAGAAAATGGTACAGCGGATTTAGTTAAAATTTATCAAGAATTTATTATATTTATTTATTTGTATTTTATTAAGTTAAGTATAATATTAAATACTAAACTTTATATATATTTTGAACAAGAACTAGAAGAATTAAAAAACATTTTCCCTTTTTCAATCAGAGGCAAGGGTTCGGCAGACCCGTTTTTTCAGAAATAATTAAATAATTAAGGAGAATTTTTATGATATTTAAATTATTGTTAATATTATATTTATTTTAAATAAATAAATAATTAAAGAACATTATCTTCATATTGTAATAATTGTTAATATGATATTTAATTATTTATGGGCTAATAAAGAAGGTCAGAATCTAAGTATTGGATCATAAAATGTATTTTTAAAATGTTCATAACTAAGCCAAAAATTGATTAATTTTACTTCGGAAAGCTGTCCCATGTTAGTTTTTGTTAGGTTAATAAATCTGCATACACGACTTAAAATATAAAATGTGACCGATTTTTGAAAATTTTAACGATGTAACCCCTTTCCTTTTTTGCAAAAAACGGAAAATTTCTGAAAATTTTTCTTTCCGGCCGGAGAAAGCTAGAAAGATTCGCCTGTTGATGCTGATTAAGAATAAGTATGATTTATGGGGTCCGAAATGACTCCTTCCCTTACTTTTAAGTTTCTGACTAAAATTATAAACACCCTTGCAAGGGTTCTAATTATATACTTGAACTATTTTTCCAATAAACATTAGGGACCATTTACTATTTCCCCAATTAATATTTGGACTTGCACTATTTGTTTTTCGATTAAATCTACAAATATACCCAAGTCAACTGCCCCTCTAAAGGGGGGCTCTAAAATCATCATCAACATCATCATCATCACAGTCACATTACACACATCCTTGGATGTGGGCGTACATAGCCCCAGGATATATCAGACTACAGGACCTCGTTGACTCACTGACTGACTAAGGAGGAAGGAGGAAGGGAAAGTGTGCCATAAGAAGGCAGCTCTGCCTCCGGATAAATGTGGTTGTATGTAGAGCGAGTCCTTCAACCCTTGGATGAATTTCTCAGGGCCTTCTTACTGGTCGCTTAAACAGCCATATAAATATTCAAGCGTTCGACGGGGCAAACAAGCAAAAACTTTTGCAGTTTCCCATTGAAAATTCCATTGCCTACATTCGAGCGCACCCCAGCCCCACGACGGCAGCCTCTCAAAAAAACTCAATTGTTTGTTTGAGGAGAAAGCAAATTCAAATTGCCTGTGTGCATAAATTAATATTCATTTCTAAAATTTCGAATTTGCGTTGAATTTTCTGTTCTAGTTTGGTGTATGGAAAATATACATATACATATAGGCATAAAATGCGCTAAGTTTCTATAGTTTTTAGGGCGTGTCTGCTCAACTGTTGCGCACTTGTGAAAAAAATTAATAGGGCGTAATGTAATTCAATGTCCGTTTAATTCGAATCAATCAATTTTATTGGCATTAAATTCGGTAATGCGGAAGCTCAAGTTCGGCATAAATTAAAACGGGTTTATTAAATTGGCTATTATGTGGTTTTTAAAGAGCTAAACTAGGACACAAAAATAAATAATTTTATAGGGGAGTAAATATGCGAAGAGTGCATCTAAGATTATCAAGTAAAAATTTGAATTTTAAAGATATATACTGCCATAGGCATTTAAGAGCTAATGGGATACTACAGTAGTTGCTACAGTAGCTTAAATAATTAAATAGTCGATAAAGAAATCAATATTTAAACGCTTGTAATATATGTGCCATAAATCATTATGCTCTCAGCTTTGAATAAATAAAATTTATGAATTTTTTCGGTATGGTATTGATAACGATATTATTCTAATAACATACTCATCGGGTTACGATTTATATAGATTAAATCATAAATTAGAAAACAAATAAATTTCCAGTTCGAAGTATAATGTATAAAATGTATTAAACAAATCCTAGCTTAAACCAAAAACTTGCTTTATTTTTAATAAAAAAAAATACAATAAATTTCCTGCTTTTCATCGTCAAGTTCCCAATATATAAATATATATATTCCCTTGAGCTAATAAAGTTTCTAAGACAATTGGTAATATTACCCAAGGGATTTTAGTGCTTTTCTTCTGGGAAACACTTTGACATTTTCATGTGCCAAGCTCTCTATCAGCTTGACAACGCATAAATTTTCTACCAAAAATTGTTTTAGCTTTTCTCTCCCCCGCCTCCACCTCGGCGTTTTTTACGAGTTTTCTTTTCCTGCCCCACAAAAAAATAGGAGAGAAAATATTGTTAAGGAAATGTATTCACCTGATGTGTGTATTTTGCATATGTTCCGCCGATTCTGCGTCTGTTTCTGATTCAGATTCAGATTCAGATTTGGATTCCCTTTTGCTATTGCCTGTTCCTATAACGATTTCAGGTGCCGAAAGCTGTTTTCCCTTCCGTCATTTTTTTTTCGAGGGATTTTCACTGTTTTTTTCACTTTCCCATTTTCTTTCTTTCTTTTTGTTGACTTTCGAGGTCGAGGCTTCTGTTTCAAATGAAGTGTTACAAATGGACATTAGGCAGGCTGCGTGTGTGTATGTGTGGGATGTCTGTGTATGTGTGTATGTGTGTGTACCCCCCCAAATGCGATTTTATGCTTGATAAACTACGGCAACAACAAGTTAGTTGGGTTAGGCCTGAAAATTCTAGTGAAAAAGGCGGCCTTAGATCCCGAGAAGGTCACTCTTGTCCACTCGCTTCCTCTCTCTCTCCTTCTCCCCCTCTCTCTCTCTCACTGTCTCACTCCCTTTCTCCTATCTCTTTCTCTCCCCCTCTGCCTGTCTCTTTCGCCCGGTTCAGTGAAGCAGAAATATGGACAAATGTGCAAATATGCCTGATACCCTTTCTCTTTCTTTTTTTTCTGTGCTTTCAACTCTTTTTTTGTTGTTGTTGCTGCTGCCCTGGGTTGACCTAGGTGCGGCGTTTTTGTTTGTCCACGCCCCAAAAGCATGGACAGCCGCCCCTTTAACACAGAGCGAAGAATATTAAAGAAAGGCCCTAATAGTAAAACCTATTTAAACAACAATTGGGTTCATTGATATAAATAGATTAATCTCTAGAAATAAATATATCGTTTTATGAATTTATATAATTTAAAGAAATATAAAACATTTAAATTTATGTAAATAAGAAGGATTAATAATAAGTACATATAATAAATATAAATATTATGTTCTTTCAAGGAAATAATTGATATCAATATATACATAAGATAATTAAACAAATAAGGAAACTAATTACGGGAATCCAAAGTATATATCTCCTTGCAGTTTTTAATTGAATTGTAGGATCGAATCGAAAATCGATCAAACTAAGTATTGAATCAATATTTATCTTTATTTTTATATGAAAAATTTGTTCTACAAATCAAAATTTTAAAAACTCATAACTCAGCCAAAAAAGCATTAATTTTAATTCGGAAAGCTTCCCCATGTTAGTTTTTATTAGATTAATAAATCTGCATACTCAATATAAATTTAACAAAAATCACATTTTTATCAATTTTTGAAGTTTTTAATGATGTAACCCCTTATAAAATTTTGGAAAAAATTTCAAATTTTTTTATTCTTCCTGAGATGGCTAGATTGATTCTCCGGTTGATGCTGATCAAGAATATATATGATTTATGGGGTCGGAAATGCCTCCTTCCCAACTTTATTACCTTCTGACTAAAATTAAAATACCCTTGCAAGGGTAAACAAATACATCGTTTTTAAGTTTATACATTTCTTCATCACTCTATGATTTTATATAATTTACAACACTAAATTCCTATCTATTATATTTTGTATAGATCCTTATATTCTCAATATTTTTCTCTCTGTGCATTCGTTCCCGAAAAATAGCTTCCATTCCTGCACGCAGTGCCACAAAGTGGCTTTGGCTTTGGACAAAGGCGGTAAGTGGGTAGCTGGAGGGGAAAATGGCTGGAAAACGGGGATCGGGAAAATCCGCAGAGGGGTTACTTTTGAACAAAAAACAAAAAAGAAGAGAGAGAGAGAGGGAGAGGGAGAGGGAGGGAGAGAGAAAAGGGGACGCCATGTGGGTGCGCAGAGGTCGCCGCTTGGGGGCTTGGTTCGCAGGTTAAACAATGAAATTTCCACTTCATCTGTTTTTATGCTGCTCTGCATAATTTAATTTTGCACTTTCAATCCGAAAACGCAGGAGGGATGCAGGGGGGAAATGAGGAAAACAGAGACATTCTTTCGAAATAAAGAATATCCCGAAAAATAGCAAAATATGTTGCATTTTGCAATGAAATTGGATTCAAATATTAAATATTTAACTTGAATTTGGTATTTAATTGTACCAAATATCTTTAAGTTTTGACAATTTTGTGTTTTTGTGGGAGAAAGTATTCAAATTTTGCTTGATTTTTGAGCGTTTTTGATATATGCCTAACTGATATATAATTATTTATATTATATTTTTCTGCCTCCTTTCATCAGTGCCACATTAATGACTTGTTTGTAAAGGTAAAAATTTTCAAACGCTTATATTATTTTATATATTTCCAGAGTATATAAATGACGACTTGATATATTCCCGTTTTTAGCTCATTTTCTTGATTTGCATAACTTTTGCTGGCATTTTTCTGCCCTAATTTGTTGGCTCTGTAGATGGAGAAATAGAGATGGAGCCGAAGTTCGAAATGGAGATGGATGCCTGATGGCTTTGGCTACTTTAACTTTCTTCCTTCGCATTTTTCCGCCGATATGGCTAATGCGATTTTATTGCATACTTTGGTGAGCCGAATGGCAGAAAAAAAAGGGGGAAAAACTATTGTACAAAAACAACCGCCTGAAACAAATTGCAGGCAGCGAAAGTTGAAGCCGCAGAAGAACATCTTGAATAACTTTGAATTAGGGGGCGTTATAGGGTTAATGAGGTTCATGGGGATGCTTCTGCCACTGATGATGATGATGATGACGATGGTGCGGAATAAGGGGTAAATACAATTGAAAATCCAGTTGAATCTCCAACTGATGTGGAGCGGAAATGATTCGAGTGTTGTTGGAATTGTTTGTGCAATTGTTTTGCAAGAAAAAAACAAAAAGTTTGCCATTCATCTCCATCCTTAAGTAGGTGGATCGATGCAAATTGAGACCTCGAAACTAATCTACTTTTACGTAAATATATAGCTACAACTTAAAGCTCTTCATCTTATTTCTACCTGTATTTATTTATATAATTTAGTATCTTGACTTACCCAAAAATGTGGAACATATATATTCGGAAATCTGATTTCCCGATCTGCTGGATTCGCTAAAGTGTGACAGCTCCTTGTTGAGCATGCGTTTGAACTGAAAAGGGAAAGATTCCAGGATTTTAATTAGGTTTGTTTAAAAGTAAATTAATACAAACTCGAATTTTGGCAAAATAATTATTATATTCACACTTTTTACTTTAAATAAAATCAAAGTTATTTAAAGCTTTTTATAAAATAAATTCCTCTGGCTTATTTAATATAATCATCTGTATTTTTGCACACTTTTGCAGATATTTCATTTCGAAATTTCACTTTTTTCAAGTACTTTTCCCTGAAGCTTAAACATTTAAATAAACAGGTGTCTACGAGATCTCTAGAGATTAAAATGTCAGTGGAACATGGATCGTTTTTTTTGCAATGGATTTTAGATACAATAGCATTGTTTAAGCAGCTTTCTTTATATATTATTATACACAAATATCACTGATAAGTTAACCTTCTTTTAAGGATTCAGTATTTTAATTTACTAAATTGCCATTTTGATGTGAAATAAATTATATAAGATATAAATCTATATTCTTTCATATCAGTGTGATATTAATATTTATAATTTTAGATCTATGACTAACTATACCATATGTATCCAATATAATTTGATAGTCATCAATATTGTTATTATTTTATGATTATCGATGTCAAGTACAATATATATTCAATTATCTACATTTTTATTGTGATTTTTGTGTATGTAATTTTAGATTTATTAAAGCAAATACTGTATATATTCTATATAAATTTATATTCTCCAATATCGTAATTATTTTTGATTTATCGAAGCAAAAACAATATGTATTAGATAATAATAAGATACATTTTCAATATAAATGTATATGGTTTAATAATAATAGTTATGATAGTTTTATTTATATATTTTTGATAGAAATACGATATAGATCCCATATAAATTGATATTCTCCAATGTATAGATTTAGATTTATAGAGTATTTACTATATACTCTATTTAGAACCAATTACGATATATATTCAATATAAATTGATATTCTTTAATATCTTGATAATACTTATATATTCATTTATAAATTTTAAAGATTCCAGCCTAGTTCGAGTATTAGATTGATTCTAAAATCTCAAATCGATCGATTGATCTATCAATCAATATCAAACTCACCTTAAGCGAGGCCATGTCGGAGACACTGCGATGGGTCTGGATAGTCTCCAGCTGGTCGAGGCACCAGTCCAGCTCCTCGATGGTGTCGGTGGCCAAGCGGGTGTATGCCTCCTCGCCCTGCGACAGAGGGACGCCCGCCGGATTGGTGGAGCGGGCAGCCGACGAGGATTGCGTTGGCCGCCTGGATCTTGGTTGATTAATACACGATTTTTCCACACACACACACACACACGCACACACACAAAGAGGGTGTAGAGTGGGGAGAGGGGAGGTTTGGGGGAGTTACAAAGGATTACAAACAAACAAACAAACAAACAAACGAAATAAACAAACAATCAAACAAAAGGAACCATCAAACAATTGAACAAACATTGAAGGGAGCGCAAATGGAAAAGCGATTGGAAATGCCAAAATTTATGACAAATGATAGGGTGATAATTAAGGAATATATAATATATTTATATATATATATATATGGGAGGTGGAAGGCGGGATGTGGTGTGTTTTTATTTTTTAATTTTATTGACGTAGGCATGGTGTGTGGTGAGAACACAACATTTAGATTTTTTGTTGGTGATTTTTTTTTTTGCAAAACGTTTGCACACACATATACACATATATGCAAAAATTGGTTAAATGAAAGAGAGAGAGCGTTAGAAAGAGAGAGTAAGAGAGAGAGAGAGAGAGCGAGAGAGAGCGGAAGAGAGAGAGAGAAAATATTTATATTTTGTGAACAAAATTGCTTGTCTTTTGTAATTGAATTTTTTACTTTTGAGGGCTATTTTTTTTGTTTTTTTTTTAATATTTACAGCAGTCTCTGCCATGGTCAGGAGCAGGGGCGGGGGCGGGTCTTTTTCGGGTCCTAATGGGTGTTAAGGTTATTAGGTGTTAAGGGTTAACATTCAATACACAAAGCCATTTCCCCCAAGATATATATATTTATTATGTACATTTAGCATGCATTTCCAGGGTTTTCATTATAAATATATATAAAAAATAAAAATTTTTAGTTAAATTATTTCTGAATTATACGGTTACTTCAATTGAATTTAATTTTTTGTTTATTGAATATTTGATAGACAAAGTATCTAAATTGTTAGACCAGAATCCCACAGATAATTATTATTTTCAGTTTTTATTATTATTTCAGTTAAAGAAATGTACTATATTTTTATTATTACTTCACATTTATATCCATTGTAAAGTATTGTTTTAAAAGTATTCATTATTTATATTAATTATATTAATTGTTAGACCATAATACCAAAGAAAAGTATTATTCGTACTATCAAAAAATTGAAATTCCCATTTAAATTATTTGTTTCATTTGTGTGGCATTTAGTTCTTAAATCAACTTTTTTGTTTATCAGTGTTTCTTATACTTAAATAGGGGGAAATGGTTTAAAACGTCGAGAATTGGTGGTTAGTCACATGTCAAACAATCAACCGGCGAACAATAAACAATAAACAATAACCAGAAAACCCAAGTATTTCCCGGTTGAACAAACCCAATAAAAAATACAAAAAAGTGTTGCTTTTTGGAAAATTGACACAACCGAAACATGGTTTCCCTCTCTAATTTTAAATTCTGTGCCAGATCTATACAAGTGTATATATGTATGTATGTTTTATATATATTTTCTTTTTTGTTTTTTGTGGAATAGATTTCTTTTTTTGGCCTACTTGTTTTCTATATATATTTTTTGGCACGTTTCGCTGAAGGGGTAAGCACCTTCAACCTTTTTGCAAAGGGTTATTTTTCACAGATTTCTCTTATTCTTTTTTCGACATATATGTATATCTCTTTATTTATCCATCTATATTTTTGTTTTTGTTTTTTATTTTTTATTTTCCATTTTTCTATTTCTGGTTATTGTGTGGCTATAGGTGTCTCGGTGACTGTGTGTCATTGTGTTGTTGTTTGTTGTTCGCTGGTTTTGATTAATTAAAGTGTGAGACAACAAAAAACACACCAAAGAGCACGAAAGAGCGGGACAGAGCCAGTCGGTTAGAGAGAGAGAGAGAGGTACAGAGAGACATAGGGGGAGTGAGTGGGTTAAAGCGAGCAAAGAGCAGGCAGCACACATAGGGGTTAAAAGGGGGATTAAAAACAGAGTGAGATTTCAGTACTTTTTTGTATTTTCTTTAGCTTTTTTTTTGGGTCAAGTACATCTCTCATGGTACACAAACAAATTGAAAGTCTCCGGGGGCAGGGGGCAGAGGGGCTGGGGACGGGGTCGGGGCTAAGGGCGGGGGGGGGGGGGTCACAGGGGTCACAATACACTTACTTGTTTGATGCTGGAACATTTGTCAGACTTAATAAATTGTTGCGCACTGAACGTAAACTGGCTAAAATTTGGGCGAAAGGCGTCACAATGAGATCCTCGCCATGGCTGTAAGCAAAAAATTAAAGAAAAACAAATTAAAATATAAAATAAAATATGTAAATTTATTAGTTACAATATTTATATTTATATATTATAATATATTAATGCATATTTATAGGTTTAGGCAAAAGGGAAACCCAAAAGCAACAGGAGACGAATATGTAAAGACATGCAATAATCACAAAAAAGGATATATTTATAATATACCACCTGAATTTATTTATAATTGTTATAAAAATTATAAATATACACTCTTAACAATCTCTTAAATATTAAATACATTACAAAAGCATTCTGCATAAAATATAAACATTAAAGAAAGAATATAATGGAACCCAGTAATTTTTTATAGCCTAACAGGGTTTGAGCCTTGACTAAATGCCAGTGCAAGCGAGATGGATATACAAGTTTGCAAATTTATTGGCAAATAACTTGCACTTTTTTTAACCCGTTGTTATATATTCAACCAAAAAGTTAATAATATACCTTTTTCAAAATTAATTTAATTATAATTGTGATATAATATATATATTATATATATATATACAACTATCTTAAAAATTAATTATTTTTACTTAAGGAAATTTAAGTAAGCAAAAATTTAAATGCATGGGAAAATATCTACTACAGTATGCTCTGGAAATGCCTTCAATATTATGTCTTATACCAAAAGTGCCACAACAAAAATAACTAAATACATTTGTAATATGTATAAGCATATACATAGTTTATATATTTATATATATCCAAATTATTTACAATCTTTGGCATATTGGAAAGTGTGTTTGGAAACCTAAAAAGCTCAATTAAGGAAAAATCGCTTACATTGAACAAATACTAGTTTCGGAAGAACTTTGATGCATTGCCAAAAACACAGCGAAAACAAGACCATAAATAACATCAAGAATTTCCAAAGCAAAAAATTTTGTCTAATTTATTTATTTATTTAAATTAAATTTTTTTTAATTTTGCCTGTGGGAGTGCGTGTGTTTGACATTTATTTTGACTAGAATTTAAATGGCAAAATGTTGTGGAGAATTGGAAAGAAATCAACAAACATATACAAATACACAAAAAAAGGTCAGTGAATGTCCTTAACGCACACACCTACACACACACACTCGTGTATATATATATATTTCTTATATATATATATATATATATATAAAGGACGCCATGGCGACGGCCAAGTTTCTGTTTCTATCCTCTTCCATTTTTATTTTGGCAATTGAAAATTCCACAGAAATTGTGGAAAGCACACACACACACACAAATATAGGAGAAAATTCGGGTCTGGGAGGACACCGGGACATTTTTTTAGGGGACTTTAGTGGGTGGAGAGGCGGTATTCTTAGGCAAAAAATGCCTCCTCGGAATTTTCGCGCTGTGTGCCAAAAATAAAACAAAAGGAACCCGAAAAATTAACGAGAAAGCGAAAATCGAAATGAACACAAAAAAAAGTTGACAAACAAAAAATGGCATAAATTAATAATAATAAAAAATAAAACGCTTAATGCATATAGATGGCTATACATTGCACACACACAAAAACACAATGGCAGTGATATCACAAATTAAGCAGGGGGCCAAGGAATTTAAAGTAATTGGGGAAAGGGTTTAAATAAATAGTCAAAGGTTTTTTATGTTAGGGAAATTTAAGAAATAAAATGCATTTCCCATTGAAAATATTTCAAAACAAGAAAAAAAAACTAATTTTGGGAAGCCGTAGTTTGTAAACCTTTGCAGATTGCAATTGCAATAATAATTAAACTTAAAATATTCGAATTCTTTGGCTGTATATGATATTTATCAATATTTTTATATGACCATCAAGGTTTAAAAATTGCATAACTCAGTCAAAACAGCCATAATTTAAATTCGGAAAGCTGTTCTATGTTAGTTTTTGATAGGTTAACAAATCTGCATACTCCATTAAAAATATTTAAAATTCCAATTTTTGTCAATTTTTGAAAATTTTAACGATGTAATAACCCCTTATAAAATTTGAAAAAATTTCAAAATTTTTTTTTTCTTTCGGAGATAGCTAGATCGATTTGCCTGTTAATGCTGATCAAGAATATATATGATTTATGGGGTCGAAAATTATTTCTTCACATAGTTTTAAGCTTCTGACAGAAATTTGAATACCCTGAAAGGGTATGAATAAGTCTTCAAGAATTGTTGATTCAGGAACATCATAAAATGAATTTTCCAAATAAAAATATATAGTAAAATATATTAACATGACCTTCAGATTAAATAATCTTTCCCTTGTACAAAAACTTTAATTTAAATTTAAGCAAACACCTTAAACAGTTTTTTTTAAACCAGTAATTAATCTTTGCAGTTAGGCTAAAATCCCTTTTTTATTTATTTTTATTTTTTATAAATTATTTGACACGTTATAGCTAATTCACCACTCAGCCAAATTGCCAGACAATGAAAATTAGTCAAAATAAATAAATAAAAGGCAATTTCCCTGCATGAAGCAGAAAAAATAATTAAGAATTCTGCCATTGAGGCGGCTTTTAACGCATGTAAAATTGACCTCCTTTGCGGCCATAAATACAAATAAAAAAATAAAAAATAATATTAAATTAACAAAAAGAAGTACAAAAGAAAAAAGAACACAACAGCACCATGCTTTCTGTTGTGGTTTTGTTTTCACTTATATTATATATTTTTCCCCGCACTTCTTTCAACGCTTGTTTGCTCAACAGATTTTCACATTTTGTTTTCATGATTTTTGGCACGTCGCATATAGCATGAATATCGGCCAGTTGTGACAGACATTATCCATCGATGACCGCAAATGCAGTGCCACAATTGAATTGGGATCATTCACCCGCGGGAAAAACTCCGGGAAATCTTGCTCCCTCATATTGATTGGTTTTGTATTTGTATTTCCACTTATTTGTCATTCTTTTTTTAATTTATTTATTATTTTCTTTAGTCTTTCCCCATCGCCATTTCGATTTATTAATATTGCGACGCATTTTCAACACGCCTCCCAGGTCCCAAAAATATCGCCACTTTAGTTGAAAAACATGGTGACTCATTGCTATTAAAGGTGTGTGAATTTGAATCTGAATTTGAATCTTAAACTAAAATTATTTAGCAAATTAAGTGAGGAAATTCTTTAGGAAAATGCCAAAGAAATGTGTCACAGAAATATCCATTTCCGAAAAACATTCAATTTGCAGCAAGTAATTTGTGGTTTTAATTACCTTTCACTTTCATTTCTCAAATATTTACGGGGGAAGTAACATTTCAATTTCTATGCTAGGGAAATTCTTAATAAATTTCTGCAATTTTTCCTAAATTTCTTGAATTGAAATTGTATTTATTAAAAGCCAAATGACAAACTCATATTCTTGATAATTGATACAAATGGTTTTGCTTATAAACAATTAGTCCTAAAAACTTGTGAAACATCAAACCAAAATAATAATAAATGAAAATTCCCAGAATTTTTTGTCACTAGAAAGAAAGTGATTTGCTTTCAAAGATTTAAAAGAAGGGGGGAAAAGCCAAGTGGAAAGTTTCTCAGACATTTGCTTTAAAATAGTTTTTGTAAAGTATTTAAACCAATTCTAATTGGGTTTTCACTGAAATTTTCTTTAAAAACCATTAACACTTATTATAGTTATAATTCCTTTTGTTTTCTGACACTAATTTTTATATATTCTTTTAAGTAGAATACAGTTAGTAGTTTTAATAAGTTTTCCACTAAATGTTGTATATATTTTGGACAGTTTTATATATTTGTTTTAAACTAGAAATTTCTAGTTCTAGTAGATTTATCTTTTTAAAGCCATTAATAGTTTTAGTTTCATTTATTTCTGTTTAGAAATTCCTCAATTTTGTGCCAATTAAAATGTTAAATAAATAAGGCAGAGAGCGCTGATGAGCCAAGTCGAACCAATATATATTGACATGAAAATATTTGTGAATTTGTGAATATTTGGATACCGCCATAGATCATAATTAATGAAAGCATATAGAAGACACGCTGCTTTGCTGAACATGAAGCATAAGGCAGCTTGTTTGGTGTCATTAAATTGGAATATAAATATATATATACGAGCATATATTTCGATCTCGCGGACACGTATAGGAACTATTTTTGAGAGCTGGTCAGGGGGCCCATAAAAGGCCCTGACAGATCGGTCAGATATATATACAAATATATATATATACTTGGAGATAAATATTTATGATCCTTTACCTGCGATGTGACTTGATCGAGAACATATTGTCCCGATCGGCGAGAATTGTCACTGCCAGATCGTCCTGCAGAATCGAGGGTATCATATTGAAGAAACTGTGCACTCGAGGCAAAGACTGCGACGAGGCTGAATTTTGTTTAGCATTTTTTAAATTTGTTTTTTTACACACTTAAAAACACGACAAAAAAATATATAAACCTAATAAAAAATAATAAAGATCACTGTTGGCCCCCTGGGGCCCACTGAGAGAAATATATTTTTCGAACTTTAAGGTCACAAAAGAACACTAATATCTCCTGGAAATTTATGTATTTATATTTAAAAGTTTATTTCCAGAGTTGTAACAATTGTTTAGTCTCTTAATTTGTTTGTTTTTGTATTTGTATTTTATTTATTTATCTTTTGTTCATTTAAATTTGATTTTTCCACGAGCGCACGATGACCGAGAATGAAGCGCGTCCCGCGAAAATACAGAAAATACAGAATCCAAACACACAAATCCACAAAAGTGAAAAAGAAAAATTATAGTAGACGAAGCAAGAGAGAGAGCGAGGGAGAGGGAGGGGGACAGATGGACGAGAAGAGTGAAGAGTGGGTCAGAGAAAGAGAGAGAAGAGCAGAGTAGAGAGAGAGAGAATCAGCGAGCAGCTGAGAAACAAATTATATTCAACTTAAAAAATATAAATATTTCTTCTCGCTTTTCTGTGTGTGTGTGTTTATGTCATTTTCGAAATAATGAAAATGTGTGTGTTTTTCTTATTTTAATTTCCATTTTCG